AAGGTGATACAATGTGCATGATCCATTTCTTGATTCTTAAAGCACATGAAGTTTAACCCTACTTTCTTGATTGGCAAACTAACAAATTTCCTACTGAAACAGTTCATCATTATCAAGAAAAGAGTGAGTGTTTCTAATTCTGAATTTTTGCTTCCTGAATGAGAATCAGAGAAATAAAAAATAATAATTTATCTACTTCTGGCTGGTATAGTGCAATATTTTATAAGCTATCCCAGAGGGTATGACTCATGTTTGTTTGCTATTTCCTCAATTTTTACCATTTTCATGAGGACTACTCCATTAATTAATAGTCCTCATTATTCGGATGGTACCGATTCTTTGAAAATCAATTAAATGGACTCTATTCATAACTTTAAATGCTTCTATTCCCCTTATAAGTATTTCCTTCAGTTGACTTGGAATTTTGTGAGATGAAGGATTCAAGGTGCATGAAAAAAAATAATTATGCCTCTTTTTCTTCATCCAGCTTCTCTTTATACATAGCCTGAAATTGCACTTTCCCACATCCCCTAAATGCCCCTTTATAATATGAATTCATATTTTTTTTTGTTTTTCTTTGTTAATTCAGGTCTCTCCTAGACCTCTGGCACTCCAGGCTTCTCTCATCTATTACATTTTAGTATTTCTGATATTTCTTCCCCTTTTTCCCCAGAGATAAGGTGTCTTCATTCTTTTCATTCTCTTTCCTTATCTCTCTCTCTCTTCTTCTCATTCTTTCATTATAATTTTCACTATACATTTCCAGCTTCTTTAGCCATATTTCTGTTGCTATGCTGTCCTCTCAGTTCTCAGCACTATTTTCTATGAATGCACAAACAGCCTGAGTAGAAATGTGGTTACCTGGCCAGCTCTATTAGAGAGCTATATAGCTCTCTAATGTGGCCAGCCTGGTCCCAGCAACCAGCTATTAAACTGAGCATGGTTTGTAGCATAGAATCTCTTTAACTAGTTGTGCTTTGTACAAGTAGATAAATCAACTCCAAGAGGACTTGCCACTGGAAACATTTTCCAGTAGTGATGACAGGAATGATGTAGTCAAAATTTCAGAATAGAATCCAGCTGTAGTACTGGACCAGGGTCTTGTAGGCTCCCTGTGCTTTCAGATGTTAACAGTTTAGTCACTAGGTCATGGAGAGTTCAGGGGGAGATGGGGAGTCTGAGTGAGGAACAGGGTATCCAATATGTCAGGGAGGACATAAAAGGAGCTTGAGACAGAGACTTTTTGCCAACTAGTACTGTAGCATTTCAATAAACAGCGTGGTTGCATTTGGTATATCAAGTCAACATCAGCCTTTCAGACAATAAGTTTGTCTTCACCCATATTCTGTCTTCTTGTCCTCCTGAGACAAACATACACATATACTGGACAGGTATATTCCCATTTTACAGATGAGGAAATTGAGACATAGAGAAGGCAGGTCACAAGGGTCAGAGTTGGAACTTAGATATAAAGCCAGAACTAAATAACTCTCAAAACAAAGCTGTTGGGACTAAAATGGTTACATGACATTATTCATTAATGTTTTTTAATATTGGATAAGGGATCTTGTAGATATCATTTGGTTCCTGCAGCAACCTTATAAAATAGTATAGACCTTATTATTAATCCCCTTTTCAGGTTTGGAAAACAGGTTTAAAGAAGTAACTTCTTCAGGGATACTGAAAGAATGAACAAAAGATGGAAAATCATTAAAATGTAGAATCTGGATTCACAGATTGTTAAACTTTCTGATTCTGGAATCCCTGCTCTTCTACTACATTATGACACCTTAAAGTCTATAATGGCAAATTTCCGAGAACACTGTTCCCAAAATGCCTACTCTTCTCTACAAAGATGGCTATGATAACACATGGCCAATGCTCATACATTTAGAGTTGTTTTTTCTGGCATTGATTTAGCACTTAGCCTATTATATTCTCCTAACTGATTATTCTTAAAACCAATGGCAAGCCACTGATGGCCAATTAACTGGGATTAGAGGGTGGCAGGTGACCATGCAACAGAATCATACAAACTAGGGTATGTGGAGTGAAACTTTGAGTTCATCTCTAAAATCCATGTGTTTTATGTATCATTTTTGTTAATTCGAAAGTTCTTTTCTGGCATTAGTATTTTGACTTTGTAGCAAACATTTTATTTAAATGCAGACAAATAAATATTTTTATGTTGTTTGTATCCAATATTCTAGACTGGACTCAAGTGTCACTTCTTTAAAGCCTTCCCTACCTGCCCCAAGGAGAACCAGTCCGACCCTTTTCTATGCCTAAAGCACTTTATACATACCTTAACTGTATAGTTCATCTAAATTGTGCTGCAATTATTTGTTTATATTTCAGATTGACCAGTAAGGACTTTGACTTTTTAATCTTTTTCTCCCTATCAACTAGATTATATTTGGCAAATAAGTGTCTAAGAAACAATTGTTGACTTAATTAATTAATATGTCCATTAAAAAATAAACTACATGTTCACTAGTTTGGAAAGAAATTAGATGATATTATTTTTAGTGGTGGACATGATGATGATAACATTTGATCTGTCTGGAAATTTATATTTTTGGATTAACCAAATATAGAGAATGAAGGTTTAATACTTCTCATATTTTATTATAACATTTATAAATCTGTTTACTGTTTTATAAATATAATTATCTTATATTTAATTCCAAAAAAATCCCTGGGGAAAAAAGTATTCAATAA